TGACAAGTCCGAAATCAGCGCAATCACGATCTCCCTTTGCGCCTTAAGCTTAGAGAAACAGGCGGATATGCTCCGATGAATTTTTCCGTGCAATTGTCTAGGATAATATTACGCGTCTCCGATGTCGCAAAGGATGCCATTTCCGTAGGTGAATGCTAAAATATTTTGTATTCCTTGATCACAGCCAGAACAAACACTGCATTTGTCATTAGCCATCTGCTGATCACATCGACTAACCAGCTGGCCGCCGGCAATCGGCTAGCCGTAGAATAAGCAGCCTTGGAGTCAAGTCTGCGATATACTAAGCCTTAAAATGACAGGACCCACCATGATCTAGACAGGTGAAGGCAAACGTGTATACATGTTACGCCTGTTTTTTTGGGCGGGGGGGGGGGGGTGCGCACAGGATGCTGGTTTCCGTATGAAAAAAACATGTACACAAATCTTAGAATTTTATAGCCGGAATCCGATGATTTATGTCGAGCGGCCCCAAACTGAAATGTTGTGTACATTGACAAATTTCTGGACCCGCTACTGCCTCTGGTGACGTCACATTATATGCACTCTGATCCACATGATAGATAATGACATAGAAGCCATATGAAAGAAGCGAAGGGTTACAGCCTACGAAGTGCAATAAAGTAACATTTTGAAAGCCTTTAGATAATAACGTTTGGTCGTTCCGGAAACCTCACTGGCTCTCACGAGATACATGACCTTTGCGTATAGGCGACTACCTTAATACCTATTTACCGCATAAAAAGATCAACTCACAAACTTTATCCGAGCATCCTTAAAAAAAAATGGTGCGCCTGCTTGAGTTCCATGCTTTAGTAAGCAGCTGGTCAGTTCAAAGCGCGGAGCATGCGCCATCTGGATTCGTCTCTGCGTGCCTTTAGTACGACCGAGCACACCAGACGTCTGCCTTGGCTGTCTTAGTGGCTGTAAGCCCACGGCACAGCCCCAGGTGTTTCGACTGGTGAACGGACTTCTCAAGCAGGTTAATTACATACATTGATGTGATTAACATTAGTGATCCTGGGACATTCTGCCAGATTGGCAATAGTCTCAAACTGATAATGTCTACGTATTTAAGAATGCAAAATAAACAAGCCTCATGTTTGGAAACACGCCATTTCAAGGGTACGTAGAGTTTGCGCTGAAATGGGAGCTCAGTTTCAACCTGAAGTGTGGGCGATATCGTTCGGAGTCTTGGGCACCAAGCCAACCGTTGTTGCTGATTCCTAGCTCCAGTTCATTCTGATATAGAGATAGAGATGGAGGACTTCGTCTGCTCTTAATTCACAGCGCCACGACCGTGGCCGTAACCAAAAGATTTGCCGGCACGGACGGTCGCAGACCAAATTTTGCGGCGAAATGCGCGCAGCGGTAGTCCCAAAACAGTTACCTCTGGAAGCCGTTTTCACTGAACCAAAAAAAGAGAAGGTTAATACAGTTTTGAAAAATCCCGACACGTGCTTTGTAACACCGTTTAACAGGGGAAAGCGACAGCCTTCTTCTTCACAACTTTGCTGGCAACTCAAACCTTGTTAGCTCAGTCTACTCAGTCTCAGTTTGCGTGCTGACACAGAGCGCCGAATCATGGCACCTAGACAAACGCTGTGTGGTACTTATCGCATGTGGTAGTGCACTGTTTTGCCCCTGCCCGACCTAGCAAACCTCTGCCCCAGTAATTAGAACCATCCAGAAATGCCTCCCGCAAACTCATGGCTTTCTGGTCGCCGTTGTCAGCAGCAGTGGCTGTTGACAAATATTGGAACTTGCTGGCACTCTTCCGAAGACTTACTCTGAACAAATCGTACATTTGAAACGCATCAGTGCTGCATGGCCTTTGAGCCATGGAGTACTCATGAGGAATGAGTGTAAGTTCAAAGAGTTCAAGATGCATCCTAAAATCCATGAACATATGCTGGGGTAACTGCTGGCAGGCATGGAGAAGAAACTAGCTATATAAAACTATCAAAACGAAGCCTTTGGTATTAGAGTAACCCAGAGTTTACCACTAAGCATCTTCGTTCGCCGTACATGACAGGATAGGATGCTGCCATTTAACAAATGAAACAGCTTTATCCAGCGTGATTTAAAGAAGATGGCTGGTGGACTAGATAAATAAGCATACGTATTTAAGGTAGTGTAAGCTAAACGCAAATCAGATCTGAAAAGTGAGAGGGGGAGGGCGGGGGAAGGCAGTGAACATTGCTGGCCACTACACCTTGAAAGTGTGTGTGTGTGGGGGGAGGCATGTCCTCCCGTGCCCCCCCCCCCCCCCACCCGTTTCAACTCCCATGGGCCTTGGCTGAAACGATGTGGAGAAGTTCTCCTTCGGTACTAGGGTTTCTGACTTACACAGGGCCTTTCCACTGGCTTTTTGTGAATGCGAAGTGTTGCATCGTCATTTCCCAAAACTCCTTCATTGTCAAGAAGGCCCCTGATCAGCACAAGAGGCCCTTTGACATTTGGGGTCCCATCCCTGTCCCTATTCAGCGAATGTGCCCCTAGCTGACCTGGGGCTAATTGCCAACACACGGTACCCTGTTAGGCGCTGTTGGCCCTGACTAGCACAGAAGGTCCTTAACTGTTTCAGGGGCCCCGACCAATGTAGGGAGCTTTCCCATTGGCATTTGCTGTCCCCGGCCTTACCTCTGCTCAAGAAAGAGGCTTCCTAGGGCCCAGACACGGCACCTTCTTTTTGATATTGGCGGTCTCAGTCAGCTGACTGAAATAGTCACTCACTGTCCCGGGGCCTCCGATCGATGCAAGAGGTACGCTGATATTTAGGAATTCGACCTTCGGAATAGTCAGGAAGGCCCCTGATCAGCACAAGAGGCCCTTTTACATTTGGGGTCCCATCCCTGTCCCTATTCAGCGAATGTGGCCCTAGCTGACCTTCTGTCCTTCATAGGGCCTCCGGCCTGCCCTTTAGACCCTCCAATCAGGCCCCCGATTGTGATCGGACCCCTTCGCGACCCTCGGGACCCTCAGAATCTGAGGGGCGGGGGCTTTGTGCTTCTATCCCCCTGCTTCCTGCGCCCCTTAAGGTAGCGGTCTCACAAGGTGTCACGAAATTGATGCGCGGTTGTATCGTCCTCACTAACAGAAAAAAATCAGAACGGTTGATGATTTATTTGTCAATGTAATCCCACGCAGCCGTATTCACTGCCGCATGCGCTCCGGCATGCCTCACACCAGGTTGTCGGGAGTCGCTGCCTTGACCCTCCGCCACGCCGCTTGCACGTTTTGGAGCAGGATCTTCTCTAAAGTGGCCGGCAGCATCTTGTTGGGCTCCTTGACAATCGCCCAGAGATTCTCGATTAGCGACATGTCAGGGCTGTTGTCTGGCCTCGTACCCTTCTCCCAGAAGCCCAGGAAGTTGGTGGAGCACCAGTCCTGAGTCTTCCTGGCGTGATGAGCTGGAGCGTCGTCGTGCTGGAAAGTCACCCTCGACATGTCTGGCAGGAGTTTGGCCTTGGTTGGCGAGCCTCCTTCCTCCGCTGCATCGCCGAGGCAACAGTCTTCTCCAGCACCTCTCTCACGTGGTAGTCGGCGGCAACGGCCTGCCCACACGGAACTTGGCGTGGCTTAAAGAGGCCTCTGCAGTTCATGATGCCACAGAAAAGAATCTTTGGCGGCTGCTTCACTGTCGGCGATCGGCACTTCCGAGCTGCTGTTGGCCCTGACCCGGTCGTTATGACGGGTAGGAGTTTGGAAGAACTCGAAGGGAGACTCATCACTGAACAGGATGCGCCTCCAGTCCTGAGCGGACCAGATCTTGCGGGCCTTGGTGAATTCCAGCCGCCTGCACTTCTGATCCACGGTAAGGTCATTGGATGCTTCCTAAAAATAAAGATTATGATGCCCCAAAATGAAGATGTTTGGTGCTCCTTTGTCAAAGGGGCTGACCCAGGATTTCGTCAACGGACGTGACACGAAATTGTGTCCCTGCAACGTCGGGGCCCGAAATAGAAGATTTCGTGTTTTCTGGAGTACACCTGAAATATTGGCGTCTGGTGAAAAAATACGTTATGTGGTTACGAAATGAAAGCTTTCGTGTCTTTTCACCATGCGACTTTTGGTGCCTCTTCGGGGTGCGGAAACAATGTGGGGCCAACGGTGAGGGACGGGGCCCCATGCCCCTCCCCTCAGGGCGCGGGGAGGGGCATAGGGGAATCGTGATGCCCTGAGTTTTGGTCCGTGTTTGAGGTCAAGGTTTGGAACTTTTAAATGGCCCATTTAGATACGCATCTCTTTAAAGTAAACCCAGCCAGCATGTCCAACTGAGACCGATAACGGTCCGTGATGGGAAGTCATATGGGGCCCATCAGGGCTGCCCACTTCGGTCCCGTGTGGATATGTCATGGGCAACCAACTGGGTCTCACATGGGCAGCCCACCTGCGGCGCGTATGGGGCCAAGCTGGGATCCACATGGGGCCCACCTGGGCTGCCCAGTTAAGACCATAGAGACCTTGAGACCATAAGGCCATAACCTTAAGGTTATGGTACCCCGAGATAAATGCTTATTTACTGCCACCTCCATGCCCAAGGTGCCAGCGCACGAATTCCCCTTTGTGGGAGACGCAATATTTTTGTGTCCCTGGAATTTGGTCACCTTTCAGATCCGGATCAGATCAGATCCAGATTCGGATCAGATCAAATCCAAATCACCCTTCAGAACGGAAGCTTGTGGCCCATTTTGGCGTCCTTCGCCTACAGTGCCCTGTCGGAAATGAAGGCGTGGGGCCATTTGTGGTGCACCTGAAAATTGGTGACTCTTGGTGACCCTTGGGCTCAAGGGCAATGACTCCACGAACCCTTTTTCGAGATTTGCCACCGCATTAGGATATTATATTGCATCTGAAATTGCAATGGTCATGATGAAAAGATACCGGATTCTTAAAAGTGACGTCATATAGTCAGCTGATATCCGACAGTTTTTTTGTAACACCGATACACGGACCTTGCATCAGGCACTGTATGATGTCTCGGGATCTCGTTGGTGGGGGAAGGCCGTGGTGGGTGGCCGCATAAGGTACATACTGGGAATTTGGGTGTGAATGGTGTATTGAGTGATAAAAATAATGAGGTTTGACCCTTGTCTAAAATATAGCTTAATGACCAGGCTGCTTTTCGGTGTATTGAGCACAAACCGCCAAGTACAGCTGTATGCGTTGGCCAATTTGGGCTTGTACAACAGACCTCCAGTTGGGGGGGGGGGGGGAGGTAATTGGCTTTTTGGGGTGGCACGTATTTCCACGCCAATATATGGCACAGGTGTAATATGTAGTTCAAGGAAGGCATCGGCGGATCCTGGTGGGGGGGGGGGGGGGGGGGCCCGGGGCCATGGCCCCCCCAAAACCTCTGGGGGTATGTTATAGCCCCCAAAAACATTCCCAGGACTTCATAAAAATTTTGTCTACTTGCAATCTGTTCTAACTTTAACTGTTTCAACCATTTTGTTTTAACTTCCATTTAAGATTGAAAGGCATTTCAGTGCTTTTTTCAGTTTTGAATGGTGTCCTCACTAGGTACTTGCAAAAGGCACCATGCACTGGACCTCGGATCCCACGCCAGCCAGCTGTCAACAAACGGTTGCCCCCCAAACTCCAGGCTAGATCCGCCCGTGAAGGAAGGTGGGATGGTGCATCCTCCCATTCCCCCTGTGTCCAGGTATATTCCCACATTACAATTTAGGCTCATGGGTGATCAGCTGATCAGATGCAACATTTTGAAGACCGTGGTCTGATGCATTGCTTCATGTTATCACACAATCATTTCACTGACATGGCCATTCCACATGTCTCAGACTCCATGCAGGTGCACCTACTGGGTGATGTACCATAGTGGGTGCTGCAAAAACTAGATGGCTGGCAAGGGTTTATTCACAGTGGTTTAAGATGGCTTGAAATCACCTTGAAAATGTATATCCAAAAACCTGTACCTTTCTATTATGTCACAAGATGGGAATTTCAATGCACAAAATATGCTAGGCACCATGATTAACATATTTTTTGTAAGCATTACATCAAGCAGATTTGCACATAGTGGCAGAAATCTGGAAAATGAGTTGATAACCATGTATGTGGCTTGGCTGAATTCATCCATGTTCAAGTGTTTTCTTTTAATTTGTGGTGCACACATTGCTTGTCCAAGGTGCCCTGAACCCATCACCACTGTCAAAAATGAACAGTCTTGAATTTGACTGAGTTTCATAAGTACCCAAAATTTAGTCTGAGTGCATTGTGTCATTAATAATGTGTATGCTATTGCAGGCTAATTGTTCTAAACTTTTTCTTGCTTCTGGCAAGAGTAAAAATTAGCTTTGTGTGGCAATCAAGTGATTGTAAATAAAGCTAAAAGACATAATATTTCAAACACCTTACCTGACAGTGCCACTAACATGAGCCACATTGTGGCATACTTCAGTGTTTTTTAGTTGAAACCAACATGCTGACAGTGCTGGTAACACAAGGTGTTTTGTGACATTTTTCAGTGTTCTTGAAGTGAGGCCGCCATGTCTGGCAACACTGCCGGACTGGGGCGGCCAGGACCCTCGAAGGGTCGTCGCTCCCGCACCCGCGTGATGAACGGCGTGGCCAGCTCCTTCCAGAAGCAGAGCGAGGATTTCCTCTGTCCCATCTGTTTCGAGGTCATTGAGGAGGCAATGATGACACGCTGCGGCCACACCTTCTGCAACCGCTGCATCGTGCAGAGCATCCAGATGAACAGCCGCTGCCCCAAGTGTAGCCGCGCACTCGACGAAGACAACATCTACCCCAACTTTCTGCTGAACGAGCTAATCACGAAGCACCGGCGCGCTGAGCGGACGCCTACGCAGCTGGGCCGCCTGGGACCGGCCGAACTGCAGGAGTACCTGACCGCCGAGGCGTCCGGCCTCGGCCTGCCCAACGTCACGCTGATGCTGGAGCTGCTGGAGGCGCGCCGCGCGGCGCTCGAGGCCGACTCGTTCCGCACGCAGAGCCAGCTGCTGAGCGAGTTCCTGGCGTCGCTGAAGCGGCAGCGGGAGGACATGCTGTCGCAGCTGCAGCGCGAGATCCGGGTGATCGACGCGGACCTGGCGCGCGTCGACGGCGCTCTGGGCGAGCGGCGACGCGCCGACGACGCGCAAGAGGAGCGCCGGCGCGGCGCGGCGCAGGCCGACGTCACCATGGTGCCGTGCGTGCCCAGCCTGGAGGCGGAGCGGGGCGCGCTGCCCGCCGACGCCGCGTCGCCCGAGGCTTCGCTCGCCTCCGACGGCGAGGTGCCCGAGGGCTTCAACGTGGGCCGCGACGCGGACGCACAGAGCCCCGACAGCGACGCGATGGCGCGCCGCCGCCGCCAGGTGCACATCCACTTCGACGACCTGGTAAAGTGCTACTTCTCGCTGCGGCCGCGCGCCGTGCACCTGGGCGCGGGCGACGAGGAGGCGGACGGCGCGGCGGCGCTGGACACATTCAGCGACGCGCTGTCGCGGCTGACGCGCTTCAGCGGCGTGCGGCCGCTCGCCTCGCTCAACTACTCGTCCGACCTCGTGCCCAGCTCCAGCATTGTGTCCAGCATCGAGTTCGACAAGGACCGCGAGCTGTTCGCCATCGCCGGTGTCACCAAGAAGATCAAGATCTACGACTACGGCTTCGTGGTGCGCAACGCCATCGACATCCACTATCCGACGCTGGAGATGGCGTGCACGTCCAAGATCAGCTGCGTGGCGTGGAACGGCTACCACAAGTCCGTGCTGGCCAGTTCGGACTACGAGGGAGCCATCACCGTCTGGGACACCGCCACCGGCCAGCAGCGACACGTCTACCAGGAGCACGAGAAGCGCTGCTGGAGTGTTGACTTCAACCTGGTCGACACCAACCTGATCGCGTCGGGCAGTGACGACTTCACGGTAAAGTTGTGGGCCACTAATGCTAGCCACTCGATCCTCTCGCTCGAGGCTAAGGTGAATGTGTGCTGCGTGAAGTTCAACCCGAGCAGCCGGTTTCAGCTGGCGTTCGGGTCAGCCGACCACAGCGTGCACTACTACGATCTTCGCAACATCAAGGAGCCGCTGCGCGTCTTTAAGGGTCACCAGAAGGCGGTGTCGTACGTCAAGTTCGTCAGCGATACGGACCTCGTGTCGGCCTCCACCGACAGCCAGCTGAAACTATGGAATGTGAACTCGCCCTCGTGCCTGCGCTCCTTCCACGGCCACGTGAACGAGAAGAATTTCGTCGGCCTGGCCACCGACGGCAACTACGTGGCCTGCGGCTCGGAGAACAACTCGCTCTACATCTACTACAAGGGCCTGAGCCAGAGCGTACTGTCGTACAAGTTCGAGTCGCCCCGCTCGCTGCTCGAGCGCGAGCGCGCCGACGACGGCAACCAGTTCGTGTCGGCCGTCTGCTGCAAGAGCGGAAGCAACGTGGTGGTGGCAGCCAACAGTCAGGGCACCATAAAGGTGCTGGAGCTCTACTAAGGCGGCGGCCGGCCTCGCGTGGTATTGGCCGGCTGGCCACCTCGGCGAAACTCCTCTACAGGCGGCTGGTTCGCCTGTGTTCAAGTGTCTGTCCTCACTGTTCTGCGTGGGTGATGCGGGGCGGGTTTGTAACGCAATATAGCCTGGAGGTTTTTACACGATGGGTTTGGGTGCTGGCGGTCGATTCGGACGTGGGTGCGGAAAGTCGAATAAGGGAGCAGCTGTGATTATTTTGGAAGCATTTCCTTTTTACAAGAAGGAGGAAAATCGATAGTTAACGGTCGCTTAAAGTGAAACGTATAAAAGAGACACTCCCAAATGTGGATGCAAAGCGACAATGACGAGAGAAAATATAAATCTGTCTGAGCAGAAGGAACGTAACAGCGGGGGATTTAGCTGAACCATCACTGCCAGCAGACCATAGCTGCAAACGTAGTCATTGCAGTCTGGGTCCGGCACTCCCATAAACATTGCCTTTACGACCCATCCACAGCACTTTTCAAGGGTCTGGGTGGCCAGCTCTGTACCGTGTCCTGGTGGCCAGCTCTGCACCGTGCCCTGCTGACCAGCTCCGTGCCGTGTGCTGCTGGCCAGCTCTGTACCGCGCCCTGATGGCCAGCTTTGCACCGTGCCCTGCTGGCCAGCTCCGTGCCGTGTGGTGCTGGCCAGCTCTGTACCGTGTTCTGGTGGCCATCTCTGTACCATGTCCTGGTGGTCGGCTCCGTACTTTGTCCTGGTGGCCAGCTCTGTGCCGTGTCCTGCTGGCCAGCTCTGTAGCGTGCCCTGATGGCCAGCTCTATACCGTGCCCTGGTGGCCAGCTCTGCACCGTGCCCTGTTGGCCAGCTCTGCACCCTGTCCTGGTGGCCAGCTCTGCACCGTGTCCTGCTGGCCAGCTCTGTACCGTGTCCTGGTGGCCAGCTCTGTACCCTGTCCTGGTGGCCAGCTCTGTACCGTGCCCTGTTGGCCAGCTCTGTACCGTGTCCTGGTGGCCAGCTCTGTACCCTGTCCTGGTGGCCAGCTCTGTACCCTGTCCTGGTGGCCAGCTCTGTACCCTGTCCTGGTGGCCAGCTCTGTACCGTGCCCTGTTGACCAGCTCTGTACCCTGTCCTGGTGGCCAGCTCTGTACCGTGCCCTGGTGGCCAGCTCCATGCCGTGTCCTGGTGGCATCCCCTATATGGCGCCCTGGGTCCAGTTCTTCATTAGCAAAGTACTCACTAGTTGTAATGTCATAGGAAGTTACGTCACACGCGAGCTACTGCAAGTCCAGATCATAACACTTGTATGGGGCGCGTCCTGTAATGCCAGAAGTAACTAGCTTCCGTATTGACTTTGTCGATGGCCTGTGGTGGCGAGCCTGCCCCGTCCTTCGTAGGACAGCCCTGTGCTGTCCTCTAGCGGCAGGCGGCGGGGCCGGCGGCGGCGGCCGATCAGTAGTGGCAGCCCCGTGGACGGGCAGACGGAGCTGGCAGCGGCTCTCGCCATGGCCGGCCGCCGCTCCCCGCTCGCGCTGGCCCTCCTGCTCGCGCTCGGCTTCTGCCTGCTGGCGACGGCACACTCCAGGTGGTCCAGGTGGGTGCTAACGTCACGCATCACAGTAGGACCGCCACGCGCCAGACAAAGAGCCAGGTCGGTCGACGTTGCAGGTCAGGCTCCACGCTGTAGAGCGGGGAGTAGAGTGAAGTGACGCCCAAACGGATGGAGTTATTGCTTTTCGGATAACCGGGGCGAACGGGCTGAGCGGGACAGACAAGCATGACATTGCTCTCGTCTGCTTGCGTTGGACACGTTGGTGTGGACCTCACTGGAGGCAGGGACGGCTGAAAGGGGGTGGCAATGCCCAATTTCCAAGCCAGCTGTATCCTAACACCACCGTTGTGTTGATGCTGGTTCCCATGAGGTAAGTGTGGTACCAAAGTGGTTTTGATGGTGTGATTGTAAACCAATTATAATCATTGGCATATGCATTGCACTAACGTGAATCTGGTCAGCCCACAGCTACCTCGAAATTATGTGTATATATATATATATATATATATATATATTTATATTTATATATATTTATATATATACACGAGATAGGCGCTCAAAACTAAAGGCGAAGGGAGGGAGAAGTAGGTAGGATTTACGGGTGAAACGATCTTCATTCAGGGCGAATCGACAAGGGAGTGTAGGCCAAACGCGGCCGTAGGCCCGCAATATATGGTGTGGCCTGAGTGGGAAAAATGGCTAAACGTTCCCCGAAGTGCGCAAAGAACGGATGTCTCCGCGTTTTGCACACTTCATCCCAAGTGTGGGGAAGGCTGGAGCCCCCAACTGAGTAGCAAACTTTACCCTTGAGGCCAAGTTAGGGAAATGGGAGAAGATGGCTGGAAATGCATGAAATCCTTTTTTCGAAAGGACTGCCCAGAATCGGAGTCAAGTCTCACTAAATGTGAGCGGTGACGGATGCGTCGAAGCCAGTGGATAGGTGATTGCTGAGAATGAAGCGCGGTATACAGGACGTTCTCGCTCTTGGCAAGTAATGTACCAATCGGGATCTGTCGAAGCGTCTTGGCAAATCGTGGTCTGTTCAACGGCGTCAGGACATCCATTGCCACATTTTGTGGCATGAGAAGTGTGGACAGGGAGACAAGTTCACAATTTTTTTACGAATGAGAAAGACCTGCGGTTTCTGGTTTTCGGTATTGTAAGTTTTATGCTGAAAACAATCAGCTGTCATGCTAGGGGACACCAGCTAAACCTATCTAGCAATCATTAACATGAGTTAAAAAATACTCACGATATATCCAAATGCCTGCTTGATATCTTCTTTTATCGGTACGTCTTGGTACAGGAAAGGTTGGCTGTTTTCAGAATAGTAACTCAAACCGTTTACATGGGCTCGAATCCCCAAACTCAAAATAACTTCGAAGTTGGGTAAATTAACGGCGTTTTATTTCTGCGGATGCTGGGGTGGGCGGTTCTGTAACTTGATGGTCGCTGATCCGTGTCAGCAGGGGCATTCCGCTTCGTTGCAGTGGATGCTCCGCCGACATGGCAGCGCTCCTTGACAGCCGTGGACTCATTTTTGCACTTCGAAGAACGCTTATCGCTGAGACGTAAACCCGCTGTCTTCAACAGACGGCGAAACCGATGGATGATGATGGGTTGATGCTGACGTAATGCTCATGAAATTCTGTCCAGTGTCGCTCCACAAACATCGCGACCGTTCTACTTACTAACATGCTAGATGCTCTGGCCATGGTGCCGAACATGGTATTTCCGTGCTGCATTTTTGGCCTGCTTGCGCGGCGTAATTTAAATCGTGCAATCCCGGCGTTTGTCCGCCGAACGGCGCACTGGTCGCATCCAGGACCGTCTGAGACGATCGAGAAACCACTTGATTAATCATGCGGGCCGCCGCCGGCCAGCTGGTGGCCTGCCTCGGCGCCGCGCCGCGCCGCGCCGCGCAGGACAGCGGCCCGCCGTGCGGTATGCGCCGCCGTCTGACCCCGGCCGGCCCCGCCCGACCGCGGCGGCAGCCTGCGCACACACGGGGACAGCAGACAATACGCGGTGGAGACGGACATGGCAGGCGGCGATGGTAAACGTGTGGAGGAGACAAACAAAAGCAGGGTACCCGGTGGATTTGTTACATCAGCGGTAATGGACAAAATACCGACACATGGACGGCAGAGGCAACACAGTAAACACACGGACGGCAGACAGACGGTAGAGACAGACGGATGACAAAGGACACACGCTAGATACGCGGATGGCCGAGGCTACATGGTGAACACATGGACGGCAGACATACGATGGAGTCAAATGGATGGCAAAGGACGCAAGCTAGATATATGGACGGTAGAGCCAGGCCACACGGTAAACATATGGACAGCAGGCGCATGGTGGAGACAGACGGAGAGCCGATGACACGGTTTAAATACATGATCGGCCGAGGCTACATGTTAAACACATGGACGACAGACACATGATAGAGACGGACGGATGGCAAAGGACACGAGCTAGAGATACGGACGATGGGGCTACACGATAAACATATGGACGGCAGGCGCATGGTGGAGACAGACGGATGGCAGAGGACGCCATTCAGATACATGATCGGTCGGGGCCACATGAAACATAAACACATGCACGGCAGGCACATGGTAGAGACAGACGGATGGCAGGGGGCAAAGTAAGATTCATGAAAGGCCGGGGCCTCACGGTCAACACGTGGACGGCAGGCACATGGCAGAGACAAATGGATGGCAAAGAATGCAAGTTAGTAGCTTGAACAGCGAAGCAGGGGCATAGTTTCCGATTCAGTCGGTGGGGTTCCCCCGACTTGTGCTCCAGGCCCCAATCTAGGGAAAAGCGGGCCAAAGCCGTGGAGAAACCCGTCAATTGGCGTATTTCGGGGGTATGTTGTGTCATTTTTAGGGCTCAGCCCGCCAAAATTATTTTGGCAAACTGTGCCCTTGCGTTAATGGACACGCAGCCGACACATGAACGTCAAAGACCACCCGTAGATACATGGATAGCAGAAGACACACGACAGACACATGATGGGCGGTTTATATGCATGGACGGCGGAGACCGTATGGTATGCACGTTGAGGATGGTAAACACGTAACACAGGGCCCACGGGATAACATGGCAGCTATCGCGTGAAGTGTGATAGACACGTGGACGGTGGAGGATGCACGACAGGGGCAGGAACGGCGCAAGAAACATGCTGAAGACATTGGCAGCGTAGGATGCATGGCGAATCCGTAGACGGTAGAGGACACTTGACAAGTGCATGGACGGTAGAACACGTCCGGTAGACACGCGGGCGGCAGAGGGCACACGGCAGACACGGAGAGGACAGCAGCAGACACCGTAGAACAGATGATACACAGCAGAGCTCACGCTGCAGACACGGTAGAACAGATGATACACAGCAGAGCTCACGCTGCAGACACGGTAGAACAGATGATACACAGCAGAGCTCACTCTGCAGACACGGTAGAACAGATGATACACAGCAGAGTTCACGCGACAGAGACGAGACGACGTTCACGCGACATGCGAATATTTGACCTCTGTACCAAATTTTCCCTCTTAAACACTACCTTCTATAAATCGCTGGCTCCGGCAAATTTTGATGCTCGGCATAACAAGCGTTCCGCCT